CCCCCCCCCCCCCCCGCCCCTCGCCCCGCACGCCATCTGACACCCGACCTCTCGGGCTCCCCCTCCTGCCTGGCGCCCGGCGTGGGGCCATCCCATGCAGAACCGCGGCCACTTCCAGAAGGGCAAGAAGTCCCCCTTCCCGCAGCACATCTCGTCCGGCGATGCCGGCGTGCTGGTCACCTGCGTGCGCGGGCGCGAGCGCCGGTGCGCCCATGAGGCCATCCAGATCTTCGAGGAGATCTCCACCGAGCTGGGCCTCTGGCCCCTGAAGACCGAGCCGGCGGCCGGCACCGATGCCGAGGCGACCACCGTCGGCCCCGATGCCGACGCCGATGCCGGCTCCGGCTCCGGCTCCGGCTCCGACTCCGAGCCCGACGCCAAGCCCCCGACCGACGCGGCCCCGGCCAAGACCGACGACTTCATGGACTCCTTCATGGCCGAGCTGGCCGAGCTCCAGGGGGTGGTCAAGGCCAAGACCGATCCGAATGACAAGCGCCCGGCCGCTCGGGCCCCCACAAACTCCTACTCCAAGTTCGTTTTCATCGAGCTCGGCATGCCGTGCCTGCTGTTTGTGCGCTTCCCGCGCGGCATCGACCCTGTCCCGGTCGCCACGGCCCTGCTGCGGGATGTCGCCGCCACCGGCCGCTCCCGGACCCAGTGCGTTCCTCCTGCCCGCCCCCCTCCCCCCCTCCCCTCCCTCCGGGCCGCGGGTGATCCTGACCCCCTTGTGCCGTCCCCATGCGCCCTGAAGGACCATGCAGCGCATTCTGCCCATCCAGTGCTTTGGCCGTGCCGACCCGGAAGAGGTCATCCCCCTGGCGCAGAAGATCCTGTCGCCAGCCTTCCACGTGCAGGACACGTCGGACGGCACGCCGAAGATCCACCCCAAGAGCGTACGTTTAGCACTGGCCAGTCGGGCCCGTGTGTCCGTGTTTCCGTGTTTCCACCCTATGCGCTGTCTGCCACTCACCGGTTTCCACGGGGCGCCTCCGTGCCGGGGGTCGACCCGAGCAGTTTTCGGTGGTCTACAACGCGCGCAACTGCCATGTCTTCAGTCGCACGACTCTGCTGCCGCAGCTGGCCGGCTTCGTCGGGCCGCCGCACCGCGTCGAGCTCAAGCGCTCGGAGTATGTCATCGTGGCCGAAGCCATCAAGGTGCGCGCTCTGCCATTCCCTCCCCCCCCCCCTTTCTCTCTCTTTCCCTCTCTCCCTCGGCCTCGCTTGCCCCTGTGCATCTTGCGTTGCCCTGCCTCCTCCTCGCCTGCCCCCGCCCGCATGGGGGCTCTTCTCCAGCGTGCCCGCCATGCATGTTGACGTTCTCCTGGCCATGGTGCCGGTCATGCTCAGGGCCACTTCGGCCTGGCCGTGGTCAAGGACTATTACGATCTGAAGAAGTTCAACCTGTCGGAATTGGTGCGCGTCGACTTGCCCTCGGCCGGTGGGCCCGCGGCCGCCAAGGACTCGAAGCGCCCGCGTGATGAGGTCACCACCGAGGACGCCAACCCGGCCAAGAAGGGCCGCCCGCAGGATGTGCCTGCCATCGCTGTCGCCGGCTCCGATGGGACGCCTGTCCAAGTCGCGACCCCTGATGTCCCGCAGGCAGAGGCGATCGTCAACTCGACCGAGCCCGCCACCGCTCCGGCCGAGCCCGCCACCGCTCCGGCCGATCCTGGTCTCACTCTGGAGGAGGGGACCGCCTGATGTCAATCTCTTCCGTCTCGCCCGGCCCCCCCCCCCCCCCCCCGAACAATATAGAGCACATCCTTGCCATCACCGATGTCTTTGCCCCTCAGCCCCCTCCGCAGACGCAGCCACGCGCCTCCACAGCCTGCTCTCTCTTTCCTCCATTCCTGACCCGCTTTCCCCTCGTCTACTGGCTCCTACTTCCCTCTATTCCCAACGCACACACACACACACACGGTTAGACACAGTCACTGTTTGTGGGCGACGCTGCCCATGAGCATACCCCAGCGAAGACCAAATCCTGAGGACCTCTTCCGACATATGCAAACGGGTGGGGATCCTAATCGGCGGACTTGAGCGCCTCCAGGGCCCGCTCAGTCTCGCAGACCACTTGCAGGTAGTTCCGCGGCACGACTCCCACCGGGGACACCACCAGGCCCGGGGTGCCCTCACGCTCGCGCACAATTCGCGCCACCAGCCACTGATCCTCGGAGTTCGGCATCCGGGCCACCACCTCAATCAGGTCCTCCTCGGCGAAGGCCAGGTCCGTGGCGGCATCTGGCTGGCAGCTGAAAGTGGCCACCGCCAGGACGGTCCCCGGCCGGGTGGGATCACGCTCGGCCGCCCCGCCGGCCTGTGTCCCGCCCAGCAGTGGCAGACCGGCCAAGGCGGTCACCTGGCCGTCCTCCGTCTCGCGCAGGCCCTCCAGCACTTGGCACAGCTGCTGCATGTCGGCCTTCAGCCCGGCGAAGTGTGCCGGCTGCATGTAGAGGTCCAGCCGCGCTGCCCCGTCGCCAGCGGCCGAGACCGGCGGCGTGGTGGTCAGCTCGGCCGAGGGCGGCCGCTTCGGGACCGCCACATCTGCCGGGGCCTCGGCATCGGAGTCTCCCTCATGCTCGGTGACCTCCTCCTCAGCAGCGTTGGAGAGCGACGAAGAGGAGGAGGAGGAGCAGGCGTCATCCTCGCTGGCCTTGCCGGCCACCACAGGTGGCGGGGCCACTGCCGCCGCCGCCGCCGCCGCCGCCGCGTCAAGACTGACATCAGACTTGTCATGGGGAGGGGCATCGCCGTGCTGCACTTCTTCCCCGGCGACGGGGGCAGCAGTGGCAGTCTTGGCAGGAGCATCCTCAACAGGCACAGGCGCCGCAAGGGCGGCAACGGCGGCAGCCGCAGCCGCAGCCGCAGCGGAAGCAGGAGCGGCCGCAGAGGCCGAGGCTCGAGGGGCCGGCGGGGCCGGGGCCCCGGTGCGCGGCTTCGGCGGGGCCGGGGCCGGACCGCGCCCAGGCACAGGCGGGGTGGCACGTGTCCCGGGGCTCGGGCTTTGCGAGCGGGGTGGAACCGAGGGCAGGCTCCCGGCGTCGCCGGCGCTCAGCTGGCGCGCGTGCGGCGGCGGCGTCGGCCGAGCCGGCGCATCGTTCGGCTCCAGGGCGCTGCCCGTGCTGAGGGACCGGCGAGCAGGGGGGACCGCCGGAGAAGCGGCACCGGCCACCGAGTAGGGCCGCGGGATGGCCGGGGGCGGGGCACCCCCGGCCGACTTGGGCGTGTCAACCGGCCGGCCTGACTGGGCGGCATCGGCCGCCGCCGCATCGCGGTGACTGGTCACCCGGGTGGGGGTCCCCGGGCGCAGGGGCACCGGTGGCCGGTCCCCCTTGGCCGGCACTGGCGAAGCAACACCCGACACCGGCAGCGACTACGGCGAGGGGCAGAGAGGGGCGAGCGAGGGGGGACAGGCGGGGACACGGTGGCCGGTTAGCGAGGCTTCGTGCACAAGTGCACAGACACAAGCACCAGCACACTTGCCTGGGGCGTGGCGGCACGCCCCGGCGCACATACCTTGGGGTTGGCAGCGCCACGCACCGGCACCGGAGGCGGCGGCGAGTTGAGCACTGTGCAAGCAGAGAGAGAGAGAGGGGGGGGAGAGAGAGATGCACATCCCGATATACGGTTAGACATGGACGGTGTAGAGTGGAGGCACATCCAGCGTGCGGGCGGCCCGGGCATGCATCCGCCTGCTCCACGGCCACGCACCTATGTTGCTCATGCTTTGGGCTTGGAGCTGGGCCAGCTTGCCGCGCTGGGGAACCGCCGGCGGCGGGGTCGACATGCTTGCCGACCGGAGCAGGGTGCCTGGCCGAGCGGCGGGACTTGCCGCCGCGACCGACGGCGCCATGACAGGCGTAGCCAAGGCCCCGGTGGCGGTGGCGGCGGCGGTGGCGGCAGCCGCCGCGGTTTCAGCCTCGACGGCCGCCGCCGCCGCCGCCGCCGCCGCCGCCGCCTCAAACCCCGGGTCCTCAGTCAGGCGAATCTGCGACCGATCGCTGATGGACCGCAGGCACCGGAGCAGGGCCTGGCAGTCGGCCGGGTTGCGCGCATAGATGGCTGTCGGGGGGCCACCGGCCGGGGCGTCGGACCCCTCGGCCGAGTCCGGCCCAGGCGTCAGGACAAAGCAGTGGCTCAGGGGGAAGGCCGCGTCGGGCCGGTGCTCCAGGTTGATGGACATGCCGGCCAGCGGCAGGGTCAGCCTCAGCCGGCCGCCAACATCCGAGGTGACCAGCAGCCAGGTGCCGATCAGCGACAGGGACACCTGGTCCCAGGGATCGATGGCCGACTCCCCGGCCGCCAGCATGGTCCGGGTGAAGTGCACTCGACTGCCATGGGTCAGCTGCTCCACCAGACGCCCGTACCCGGGGGCCGGGTGGCTGGCGTTGAAGTGGCTCAGCAGCATGGTCGTCGGCACGGAGAAGGTATCCGGCACCTCCAGCCCGCGGACCCCCTGTAGCATGGCCTCCCGCGCCTGGCGGACCTTTTCGATCTTGTTCATCTCGCGCAGGATCGTCTAAAATACCCGGGGGGGGGGGGGAGGCGGGGGGGGAGGGGGGGGCGCGGCAAGCCCAAGGTCACGCATTGCATCCGGGCCAGGTTAGCGGGGTGCTCCCCGGGAGAGCGCGTGCCACATGCGCCGGGTCCCATGCGGCACGCATGCTGGGCATGTTGGAGGGAGGTACGCACGCTATTGACGCTGTGATTGATCTCCGGCAGGTGGGCATCGATGCTGCGCAGGTTCTGCAGGGCCAGCTCGTGGCGGCGAATTTGCGCCTGGCGCCAGGACTCCAGCGAAAAGAAGAGCTCCGCCCGGGCCAGGGCCGGGCCATTGGCGATGCTATCGGTGAGCGCATCGCAGTAGGATGCCTTCGCCAGGTAGCCAGACCAGTTGCTCTACAGGATGGTGGCGGGGCGGCCCAGCGGGGGTGGAGGGGGGGGGGGGAGGGGAGGGTGAGACTCAAAGGGGCGGGGCAATCGGCGATGTGGGGGCCGGGAAGAGGGATGGCCCGCGCGTGGGAGGCCACGCACCTGGAACTCAATCTCATTCGGGTAGATTGCCGGCCGAGAGGGCTTCAAATCGTACACGGATCCCTTCCAATTTTTCCCCTGGAGAAGCTTATCGAACTTGGTGATCAGGGACTTATGTTCGTCAAAGCCGGTCTATCGGCATCAACCAAACGTGTGCGGGAGGGGGGCGGGGCGGAGCGCGAGAGCAGGCGAGTGTAAGCGGCGGAGACTGTGAGCATGTGTGCGCAGGCGTGTGCATGTGTGCGCGGGTGCGTGCATGTGTGCGCAGGTGCACGGACGGACCACGGTGGGCTTCTCTTTGTACGCGCGGCGCTGGAGCTTTTGCACGCGGTCCACAAATAGCGCCAGCTGCAAGGGCACCGACCCGGCCACAAAGAGTCAGTTCGGGGGCGATCCTGCGGGCCAGGGGGGGGGGGGGGGGGGCGGGGCTTCAAATAGACACGCTACCTCCTGCTCCTCCAGACGGTGGAGCTCCTGCATGATGAGGCCCAGCTTCATGGTGTAGATGGTGGTCGGGCTGGAGGGCATGGTCTCGCTCTCGAGCTCGCCGAACTTTTGCAGGGCCGCGGCGTATGCCTGCGAGGACCCGAGACAGCCTGGCCGCGGGGCCCGGCAGTCAAGTGGTCAGGACACGGAGGGGAAGGCACGCGGCGCGGTCAGCCGGCAGTCGGCGCGGACGGGCCGGAGCCCAGGGCGGGCGAAGAAAGGGACGGGATGCCGCTTCGGCACGCACTGGTGAGAGCCTCATTCAGGCTCTTGCCTTTTTTGTACAAATCCTTGAAGGCCTTCTCGCGGGGATCCTGGCGTCATCCACGTGTGCACATGTGTCAAGGCCGGAGGCCGGAGGCCGGCAGGGAGAACAGGCAACAGCGAGGCAGGAGGGAGGGGCGCCGCCGTGCAGCCACGCACCTTGTTGGCCCTCTCCAGCACATTGTCCAGCGGGGCAAACCGATCTTGCAGCCCGGTCTCCGAGTACTGGGTCGAGTGGTGCGGCGAGGCCAGGACACGCAGGATCTCCGAGACCATGGAGCTCGAATGGAAGAGATCCTCCTCATCGGGGCCTGCCACCTCGGGCAGCTTCCCCTGCAGGGTGGCCGGCGACGGCATGGCCGGCTGCTGTGACATGGCTGGGCCTGGGGGAGGGGGGGGG